GTGTGTGTGTGTGTGTGTGTGTGTGTGTGTGTGTGTGTGTGCGTGCGTGTGTATGTACGGATTTTTTGTACACGCATCTACTTCTACAGTTTTTTAGATACCGGGTTGAAATTTTTCACACAAATAGAGTATCATAGAAAGTATGTTCTCCTCAAATATTATTAAAATCGGTTGACCGGTATTTTATTAGAAAATTATTTTTTTAGAAAAGTGTGTTTTATCCTATAGCTTTCTCAATATTTGAGATAGCAATCTATATCTAGATCTATTAATTTTTTTAGTTTTTTCTATCTCTATTTCATATATAATTAATTAAGATTTGGTTAATTAGTTCTGGAGTTACAGACGTTTGAAATTTCGGAGATTTTGATCGCGTATAAAGCTAAGTCTAATTAACCGAATTTAAAAGAGTTATATATGAAATCGGGGTAGAAAAGACTGAAAAATATAATAAAATTAAAAATAGATCGATATCTCCAAATTTGCGGAAGTTAAAGCTTCCTCTATGAGGAAGCCAAGTGCAAATTTCTAATTTGCATAATTTTTATATAATTTAATTTGATATTGTCTGCTTTTATATTACAGAGTAAAGTACTTCCTTCCTCATAGGTACGACCTTGGCGAGGTGAGAAGGCCCACAGTATTTTTCTATATGACTGGATAAAATTAAAAAATTTATTCGTATAATATCAATTACAATTTTATTTTTTACGTTTTATTTAGTAAGATGTTCACAACACTTGCTTGTCCATTACTAACAGCGTAGTGTAACGGTGTTCTTACATCAATGTCTTTATCATTGGCATCAGTTCTTTATCATTGGCGTCAGCTCTTTATCATTGGCGTAGAATATCTCACGGTTCGCAGCCTCCAATGAGCTTAAATGTATAATTAATCTCTTTTATATTTTCTAAAATATGCAAAACAGTGGGATGACTTGGTCCAAGAACAGCTTTGATTTGATCAAAACATTCTCGGTAGGCTTTACGGGCATTAACCAATTTACCTTGAGAAATAAGTACATTTGCCATGTGGTATTGAGTAAACAGAGTATTAGGGTTATTTGCTCCTAACACATTTTTCTGTATATTCCAAACGTTTTGAAAGGTTTCCATGGTTTCATGAAATTTTTTTTGTTTGACGAATATTTGAGCAATGTTACTTAACGTGCTCACATGATCAATACCTAAAACCACTTTCTTTTTCTCGAAAACACAAACTTCTTCATAAATTTTCAATGCCTCTTCATACTTACCCTGGTTAACCAGTACCACCGCTATATTATTTTGAACATCCAGAACTGTTGGGTTATTTGCACTTAATAATTCTTTTCTTTTTTCAAAAACTCTTCTATAAATATTTAACGCTTCTTCGTGTTTGCCTTGTTCCTCTAATACCATTGCCATGTGAAAGTAAGTCTCTAAAGTATCTAAATGATTTGGCCCTAATATTTCTTTTTGCTTTGAATAAACTTCTTGATAAATATTAAAAGCTTCTTCTTTCCTTCCTATCGTACACAGCACTAAAGCAATTTCACTTTTTGTACTTAAAGTATTCTTGTCATTTAAACCCAGTATTTCTTTCTGTTTCTGAAAAATTTCTTTAAATATATTTAAAGTTCTTCTTTATAATCTTGTTGTTTTTATACGTTCTTTATGTGTGTCTGAATATTTAAAGTGCCAGGATTATCTGACCCTAGAATTTCTTTTCTTTTTTCATATGCGCTTTCGAAAATACATAAAGCCCTTTTATAATCGCCTTGATTATAAAGCAGTAAACCTTCATTAATCTGATCGGATACACCATCTTGTGATACCTCTTTTAACTGTTCGATTTTTGAATAGTTACTATGCACCGCAGCAACTACTAACGTTTTGTTTTCTTCATTACGAGCATTCATCATTGCTTTTACTGTATCAATATCCTTTATCTTGTTAAGATCATTAATAACTTGAGAATCATCATTTTTAATGTTTTTAAATGAGTCATCTAGTAGTTTAAATAAGCTAGTGATACTTTCATCTACACTAAAATCTGACGGTGTTTTATTATCAGCAGAAACTGCATTATATACTGCACCATTAGACAATAGAAGCTTTACAATTTCTAAGCGACAGAACTTAGCAGCATAATGTAGAGGGGTAAATCCATTAGCATCTCTGGCGTTAACGACAGTCCCCGCTTCAATGTAATTCTTGACTTCTGAAGAGTCATTACGTTTTACAGCCTCAAACAATTTCTCAGTTAATTCTAATAAATTGATAACGTTTTTATCCTCAGACATTTGTAACGGTATTATATGAAACTTGTCAACAGCGTTATAAACTGCTCCATTTTTTAATAAAACTTTAATAATCTCTTCATAACCGTGATTAGCAGCAATATGCATAGGAGTTAAGCCATTAGTATCTTTAGCGTTAATGTCAGCGCCTTGTGTTATCAAATACTTCACAACTTCTAATTGACCTATCGATGCTGCATAGTGTAGTAATGTCCAATTATCTGCATCAAGTTCATTAATACTTAATCCCTTACTAAGGAAAAACTCTACAGTATCTTTACAACCTTTTTTTTATTGCAATGTGTATAGGTTTTGAACCGAAGGCATTTATAGCATTAACATTAGATCCCTTATCATCTACTAGATATTTTACCATCCCTAAATTATTTTCTTGCACTAAAGCATAATGCAATATCGTCCAATCATTGTTACCTTTAGCATTTGTATCTATTTTTTCGTAGTCCTGCAGTAGTAACATTTTAACCACTTCTAAATGACCATGTGCCACTGCTAATTCTAGAGGTGTTCTATTCTCATTATCCTTAACATTAATATTTGCTTTATTATCAAGTAAAACTTTTACAACATTACCATGACCATGGGTTGCAGCTATATGTAATGGTGTAAGATTTTTGTAAGATTTAAAATTAAAGTTAGCTCCATGTGCTATTAAAATCTCAACAATTTCTTCATACCCCGCCTGTGCTGCAAAACATAATGGTGTTAGATTATTAACAGTTGTAGCATCAACTGTAGCTCCTTTTTTTAACAGAACTTTTATTACATTCTTATGACCTTTAGCAGCAGCCAAGTGTAGTGGTGCAACATTTTCAGAATTTTTTATATTAACATCGACTTTGTGGTCTAGCAAAATTTCTACAATATCTGTGTATCCAGCAAGAACTGCTGGTGACAAAAGTTCAATGGCTTCTTCATTAACTTTAACTTCATATGATATAAGGAATTTAACGATTTCTTTGTGATTATATTTTATAGCAGAAAGCAATGGTGTCATGTTGTTATTAGTTCTGATATTAACATTGGCTCCATTTGCTACCAGAATCTCAACGATTTCTTTATGACCTGCTGTCACGGCTGTATGTAACGGTGTACCATCGTCTTTAGCTGTTGCATTAACCTTAGCTTGATTTTTTATTAGAAGATCAACAATGTCTTTGTGACCTTTCGCAGCAGCTAGATGTAACGGTGTATTACCGTTATTAGTTTTTGCATCAACCTTAGCTTTTTTACTTTTTATTAGAAGATCAACAATGCCTTTGTGGCCTTCCACAGCAGCTATATTCAATGATGTAATGCCGTCATTAGTTATTGCATCAACCT